CAAAGTTTTGTAAATTAAGCAAAGCTATTCAGCAGCACACAAATCTTCATTATCTGCTTCAGTAGTAGATATATATTCATTAACTGCAAAAACACATTAAACATAATAATAATAATTAACCAAACATTTTAAATTATGCATACGTACATCCATTGCCTGAAGAAGATAACTCAACACTTAACATTCTACTAGTACTGGCAACATATCATTATTAAAGACAGTAGCCATAATTCTTGTTTTAGCTGGATTACTTTTCTTTTTATTAATAGTCGCTTTCATTTTACCACTAATCTGAGCTAACTTACATCGACTAAGCTTAGTTGTACGTTCTTTTTGTGATTGTAAGTCAGAATCTTTATTTCCCTCTTACCGATGCTAAGGTACACGGATCTTGACGTCAACTAAGATTGAACTTTGTACCTAGTCCATTTTACTACGATGTTGATCAGATTTCCACTGGTGGAATTTTATTATTTTTCATCAAATCATTCACATTCACCGCCAAAATAATCCTTAATTGTCTAAAGGGACAAACTTTAGAATGTGAAAAAGCTACTAACGTTAAATCTTTAAAAAGTTCATTCAATTTTTGCATAATATCTGCTTTTATAATGCGAAATAAATTTTAAAAGAATAATCAAGTGTCCGAATAGTGTCACTATACAGTAGTCATGGTCTAAAGTTAGTTATATACACATGAGTGTAAAATTGTTCATATCTATGTTCAAAATTGGTTAGATCTCTTAAAATGTTTTGAAAATTGGGAAACTAGACGTTACGACTAAAAATCCTTTTTTAAAATACCTAACGCAAGCTCCTGTCTTGAAATAAACATACAGATATATATTTTTTTAATTCAATTCCTACTTTGATGAAATATGTGTTTTAAACTCATTTGGGCCAGACCGATTCTGCCTGGTGAGCACTCGGCAAGCCAAGCAATATGACCCGCTTTTCGTCGTCTTGTTTATATATGGATGAGCAGTCTATTAATCTATATATGTCATTGGGTGCGTTTTAATCATCCGCTTCTGCTTCCGGAATTGTCGGTTCAGTCCCAGTATAAAGAACAATACAGTAGCGACAGATTGCGTCGGCTTCTTTGATGTCGGGGTGGTCAGATTTTCAATGACAGTTGACGTTTTTGTCGCTTATTTCTACACGGAGAAAAGTAAACTCTAAAATTGCAAATTAGCGATGTACACTTAGAAAAAAATTAAAACATGTACATATAACATTTTAATGTATTCTAGGCAAATAAATTAATCAAAATATTGTGTAACTTAAATAAATGAGTTCCGGTGAAAATCTAGATGTGCCAATTTTAAAATTTTATCATTAGATTAAAATAAATTACTTTTGTATGCCATTCATTGTATGAAATGTGTTAAACATTTTTTGGTTTCTTCCTGGAACTAATAAATTAACTCTGCACCTTATTTTTTTATTTAAAATGAGGTTATGTAGGTATCTTTTTAGAAGTGAAACAACATATAACAATAATATTTATTAAAACACACAATTACAAATTAGTAAGTTTTTAATGAATTTACAATACAATAATTATTTTATTTCAATTTTTGTTCCTACGTACAAATTTTTGACTTCAGATGAGTTTTAGCAAATGCCTGTTGTAAGTCACCCGTTAAGCACAATGCTGCCCAATTGCTTATATTACCTATGTATATAATTAAATACTATTAACGTCACATCATAAAAATTAGATGTTTATATTTAACGATTTTATGGTTTAAAATTTGTATGGGAAAGGTTATCTGCTGCGGGATTTAAATATTTAATGGCTAGAAGAATCAACAGTGACTGTCTAGAAACATTTGTTGGGTCCATTAGGCAACACGGTGGGAATTTAATTAATCCAACACCTGTACAATTCGAAAGGGCATTTAAAAAACTTTTTTGTCAAAATTATCTTCATTGCAATTCCATGAATTGTAATGAAGACCTGGACAAACACTTGCTACAATTAGATGTAAAAAATATTGTCTCTCTGTATCCTGAAATAAATAAAAACACTCGAGAAGCTAATTACAGCTACAGGACAGAAGATATAATAGTTCAAATATGTTTGTGGCTATTTGATCAAAAAAGCTTTAGGCATACATGGATGTAATACATTTATTAAATTTTCAAAAGAATGTGAAGATTTGGATAGTTCACAGATTTTAACATATGATTGCAAATAAAGGACTTATGGAGGCCTAAAAACTCCAAATGAAAAGTTTATTATCTATATATTTAAATTATAAAAAAATGTTATATCTATTTTTAGCAATGCCTGTGTAATGTCTGGTATATCGCATAGCTTTTTTTGATAATATGAAAGAAATAGAATTTAATCATCCTTGTCCTAATTTCCTTAATGTATATATATCATACAACTATTTATAAGTTTATATATATTATTGTTTAAGTGCTTAAATATTGTATAAATGAAACAAATCAAAAAATTAAAAAACAGTTAAAATAATAACACCACAAAATACATTTTTTTGTTTTCTTTTTGCTACTTTACAAGAAATACATATATATTTTGATTAGATGTAGTCAATCAGAACATTTTTAATCAATGGACATAGTGAATCAAAGAACATCTAATTCATTATAATAATTTGGAGGTAGGATTTTTGATTAAGAATGTCCAAAGGTTGCACATGGTACGCTTTCAAAAATGTCTCGTTCATGTTCAATGATAGTCTCAACAGAGGAAGCACTTGGTCGATGTATTAGGGAGAAGATAGACATTTGGCTGATGACCTAGATGGATAAAAAATGTGGGAACAGCAGTAGGCAATAACCGTTTACGGTTCAACGTTTTAGAAAAACAATTCTTCTCAAAATGTTTCTCACACAACCTGTAATTCCGATGAAGACTGTTCACATCTATGTTACTCAAATCTTCCCTATTACAAGCTCTTAACCACATGTTGGCCCTAAAATATAAAAAAGTTGATAACAAATGTTTAGATTGACGGTAGTTCAGAAATTATATATTTTTTACATTATTTTTGTTGAAATTGTAAAAATTGTCCTCCAGACATTTAAATAATAAATATTTGGTTGTCAAATAAATATTTGGTTTTCAAATATAAAAATTGAAAGTATTTTCTTAAGACATACCTTTCTGGCTCCATGGGAAATGCAAAATAACTTGTCCCTTTGTCTGTTTACTCTGTTTGAGATGGACAAGGGCGATAGACACATCTCTTTCTTTTCTGATCAGGTGCAGAAGCCATTTCAAAAATATCACACAATAAATGAAAAACTAAAATAATAAAAATGTCTTAAAATATGCACTGCAAACAAACAAAAATAATGACATATTTACATTATTTACATCGCATTGACACTATTGACGTTGACGTTTTTGTCGCTTATTTTCGGACATGCGCAGAAAAATATGGACTCCTCATAAAAAATGATCTGTCGCTACTGTATTGGTATATATACTGGGGTTCAGTCGTTCTAACCTGTCAGATTAAAACAAGAAAACCGACAATTCCGAAGCAGAAGCGGATGATTAAAACGCACCTATTAAAAATATTGCGCCAAGATGTAGGCAACACGTAATAAGGGTTCAAAATGGCGAAGTTTTCTATCTCCTTTTAAAAGGCACTCAGAAAGCTGCGCAGTGCGACCATTCTCCGTATAGTAAAAGAAAATCAATGTGTTTTGCCCACTAAGGAGAAAGTCATTCTTATTAGGACTCTTCAACAATAAATGGAAACTCTCGACTCCAGTCTCTAATGGAGTCTGACTGATCTACAAATTTCGATCGAACTCAATTACAGCGGGTTGAGCATGAGCACGAGCGAAAGTGGTATCGCCATCTATACTTAGTAAGCAAAATCAAAAATTACATCTAGTGGATATCCACGATGGTTTGCGTTCGCGCCCAGACTTTGATTATTTAGTGGATGTCCATGGGATATTGAATACACCTTAAAAAAATTAATTTTAAATATCTGAACGGTACTATTAGCCACAATGGCGTAATTTTTTAATAATTTGCTATATAATTACTATTATTTATGGACATTTGCATGTCTATAAATTACATCTCATGGATATAAAATAGATATCCACCATGGACTGGACATTCAGTGGATATTGGGATATTCAGTAGATATCCAAAGGATTTGGTGTGCTGTCGGGGGTGTTATCAGTCAGACAGCCCAGGCAAACTTGTGTTTTATAAATTGCTACTCATTGAAATTTATTTTTATCATATCCAAATATTACAATTAGGTAGAGTAAATTCGAAAATACTTTTTTTAACACTTTCAGTCCTCGCAGATCCTCCTAATCAGGCTTGGGTTCCAGCCTTCCCTCCTCTGGGATTCGCATGGTTGCACTGCAACCACATGTATTATTGCCCTACTTTTTTCCATTCATTACTCATTCCAATGTCTAAATGGGCCTGGATCTCTATGAATTTCATAACTCATCTAGACTGTGATGAGTGCTTTGAATCCCATTCAGTCTGACAGCGAACTAGTTTTAATTGAAACATCTCTCCTAAAAAATGTTGGTTATTCTACTAGATGAGCGATATGTAATGGATGTATATAAAATTTTCTTTGGGAAGCTAGGTACTGTACAAAAACTATTGCTCTGAGGAAAAATATGGTAATATAAAACTTTTGAAAGAGTACTCTTCAGTTTTTACCTAAATTCCAATAGAAAATGTGTAATTGCAAAGGGCAATTTTGGTATATTTTGTAGATTAATGCATAAGGCAATTACAGTCCTGTCGCAGCATGAGTTGTGGTAGTATTGATTGCTTGCGGTCTTCAGAGATTTAATGATGCAAACAAATACAACTAGAGAACATCAAGTGCTTATGCATGCATTATAAAATACAGGAATCAACTTCACCACTAACATTTGAGACTAGCACAGACTGCAATGTGATGGGACTGTAATTGCCTAATGCATTTCCATAAAGTTACAGAGGAAAGGAAGATTATCAAAAAAGTACATTTTTCAGGAAATAGCTTTTAATAACTTTTGTACATTCCTTTATCTTTACTAATTTAGGGTTTTAAATATCATTTATTTCATGACTATTGACTCCTTAATAAATTAAAATACTTTTATTTTTTTTACATTTCCAATTCTTACTTAATACTTTCTCACAAAGGAAGTATAGTTCATTACATAAAAAAATAGGTACTATACAAAAATGTATAGGTATTTATAAATTTTATAATAGTGTTTATGGACCACCCTTTTGTTGTAAACATTACTTGTTACTTAATTCTTTCTTAACAGCTTTTAATTCCTTAATAATCTGATCTACTTGTTCCAAATTCGCTTCAAAAGATATAGATGTCTTTTGAATTTTCTCATCCTTATTTTGAACACCATTTAAATCAATTTGCAGGTAAGCTTCTTTTAAAATTGCTAAATCCGATGAACCTAACACCCACTTTAAGCGCCAATCGATATTTTCTACTAAGTTATTTCCGTTTTTCAATACATAAGTTCTAGCTAAATATTGAAACACATCATTTTTCCTAATTTCTAAACAGCATTTTATAATTTCTTGAATATGTTCTTCTAAATATTCTAACCGAACATCAAAATTATTTTCTATTGTGGAGTTTTTAAAAAATAATTGTACATTCTTTTTTGCCGTCTCAAAATCGCCTTTTGTCCATTCAATAGGGCCACTATTATAATTATCAAAATTTATTTTTCGTTTTTCTATTAGATCGTCAATACATTCGTGTAAAAACTGAAAAAGTATTATTAATAAAATGTTGCATATTTAAACTTATTCAAACCTTTTTTAATTCAGTTGAATTTGTTATTTTTAAAAGGGGGTCAAAATTATAATCAACCATTTTTTTAAACTTATAACCGTGTCATATGTCACTATTAATTACTGTCAGCCATCAGCTGTCAGTTTTTCTGGCCTCTTTCTCTTTCGGCCAGTATGACGTCTTGTTTTATGGAGCATACAGTCCAATTATTCTGCGGTGTTGGGGGTGTTGGCGACGACAAATGGCCGTCCTTATCCCCGGTGAATGACATTTTAATTGTCTTTCATCGTGTCCTTATCTAAATTGACGGCTGTTGACGGCCATGTCTTGGCACACCTATGTATCATAAAAGCCTATGATATTAGCCTACCCTATGGTTTACTCACATACTATGCATTACGCACGGCAATGAATAAATCCATATTAACTGACACTTAAAAAGAAGAAGAAAATGAATGAACCGATATGCGTAAATCGCATGGGTGAATCGTGAATCTATTTTCCTATTTTCCAAGTTTAGAAATATTTTTTTTATCATTCCCATGGAGGTACTTACAATCATGATCATTCCATATTATCTCCATGGCACAATAAAGATACTTAATTTTATCTACCTCTACCTTTCAAGTAGCAGAGCCAAATCTATTAATTGACCCTTTCTTCTATTATTATTCTAAAGTTTTTGAACACGGCGAATAATAATCTATATGGTATCTATTATATGATATTCAACTATTCATCTATTTAGTATGAGCGTATGGGATGTAAGTAACTTTTTAATTATTGCTTTTTTAAATCACGTTTCAAATTTAGAAGAAAAGGAAATGACATCACGGAAAAAGATAAGCGATTTAATTTCGGTAAGTAAATGCGATTTTATATCGATATCTTTAATCGATAGCATCGATAGGTACTGAATTGAAATACTAATTTCTATATATTTTCAATAAAAAAGTTTATTAATTAATTCTACGATTTTTAAATATAATGCAATAAAAATGATTTTGTTTATTTGACGAATTTGAGACTAAAAATGGGGAAATATCAAAGTAAAACATAAGCAATCGAATTGATAATTTTTCGATTTTTGACAAGATTGAATCGAAACGCCCCTCCCTAACTGGCCGCTTCCGATTCCCGAATCGCAATATCGCGAATGCCGAAATCCGAAATCGTCCATTTTGAAACGGATATTGTAATAGGTATAACGTGACTTTGTGAATTGTTCCTTGTTGGGTTTTTTTAGAAGTTTACTACAAATAAGAATAAAAGTAAGTAATCTAGTATTTGTATTAGCAACATTTTAGTATTATAAAACTTATATTGTTCCTGAAAGATCAAGGCAAACAATTTAAAGATGCGGCGTCTTGAACCGGTTAAGTGAGGTGACGCTTTCATTGTTAAATCAAATAAAAACTGATTTAACTAGAATTTTAAACGTTTATTGACTATGGTGTTATTTTCGAGCCGTTATATAAACGAATTTTAAATTCAAAGCAATAATTTGATCTCTGCTTAGGTGTTTGTAGTTGTCCCTATAATAAAGTTCTTTCTGCCCTTTAAGGACATTATCACATAGAAGAAGCGCTTGAAAAGCGCATTTTGTTCTAAAATAATTGATTTTTGTGGAGGAATTTTTGAAATTTGTTATAAAATGGTTTGTCTGTAGTATCATTAGTGTTGACTTGAGATTTTTTACTGTCTCAAGAGATGCTACTTTTTTGTCTTGTGGAGACTTCATATGTATGATATCCAACGATATGAATTAGAAAATGTTTTTATTATTATTTAAAACATGTGCCTGGATGAATCATTGGATAAAATTTCTACTTTTTCAACGTCAAATAGTTTTTTTTTTAATTTGAATTTTTTGACTGGGAACTGAGTCCTTTTGACAAACCACATAGATTATATCTAATAGCGGATTCGACTGGCTGCATTAATGCGCATTTAGTTCGACTTTTTTAAGTGGTGTCTGTTCGACTGGCAGAACCTAATTAATTAAAAGTCAATTATTGCATTCGACTCAAATTGCTCGGTACCAAGGCATAGTGAAATTTTTATTCGACTGGTAGGCGCTCTTGCTCAAAGTTCGAATTTTTTGGAACTGTACTTTTTTTCAGTGCCAGTGTCATTTTGGAGGTTAGGAATTATTTAATAATTTTAAATATGTTACCATCTTTATCTTTATTATTAGTGAGAATGGAAAATCTTTGAAATTATAAGAGATTTAATTTTTGGTTTGGCAATTATAAATAAATATCGTTAAAAATTTGTTAGAAGCCTGAAATGTCAAGTGCTAACTGTGCCAGTCGAATAACAATAAAGATGCGCTACACCAATGTCGAATTCTAGCTCGTGTTTGCTGTGTGCACTGCTAGATATAAATTTGAATTATAAAAATGCTGCCCAAAATGAATTCAGAACTAAAAGCGCTTTTTCATCGAGCAAGAGCATTTGAGTCGAATCCACTATTAGATTTATGACATATAGTAAGGATAATATGCTCACGTATGAACAAATAGTTAAAAGTGTGAATAGAATTGTATCAATATATAAATTCACCCGGTTTCATCTTGGCTAAAAAACCAACACACCCCATACAATAACTGCAGTGGCCATAACTCACGAATTCTTAATTTCTCGCCATTACTAGTGGCCACACTGATATTTATTTTTATTTAAAAAAATATGTTAAAAACAAAATACATTGGGGGTAAAGTTGCAGGAAAGGTATGTACTGACGCGCATCCTAGCCGCGCATATAAAATAATTGTTTTTTTTACACAGTATAACTGTACAAACATTATCAGATTGCTACTTTTATATTATTAATAAATAATATCTAAGTAAAATAACAAATAAATAAATAAATCAATAAATATAAACAAATACGCGATAAATATAACGATGTTTACATATGCGCGGCCAGGATGCGCGTTAAGTACATACCTTTCCTACAACTTTACCTTACCACATTGGGTATTAATATCTACTTACCTTTGGAATGGTAAGTTTTCAAAAATATCTGTAATAAATTAAGTTTTGTTCCAATGTTTACAGATAAATTCTTAGCCAAAACAAAAAGTAATGCTTGCATGTATTACACATACTAACTATTATTTTACTGATTTCCAATGGGCTTGGTTTATTAGTTACAAACCTGCCCAATCATGTAACCACATGCTCCTTCTCCAACCACCATTTTTGTTTACAATGTTGCTAAACGTTTATTTTTAGGTCTTAAAGCAAGAAGTGGCCATAAGTAGTGCCATGACCCTACCCTTACAAAATAATAACAATTTTTGAACCTATCCCAAAGTGAAAAATTTATTAAAAAATGTAATTATTATTATTTAGGTATAAAATGACTGACGCTGCTTCTGAAACTCCCATTGACAATGGAGGTGCTCCATCAGGCCCTCCACAAAGAGGTGGCCCTGGTGGCGGTAGAGGCCGTGGTTTGGGCATGGGTATGGGTAGGGGAGGTCCTGGAGGACCTAGAGGCCGTGGTGGTTTCAGAGGACGGTAAGTAAATAAAAACCAAATTGCTGATGTTTAATTGCTATATAATTTTTTAATAATCTTAATTTCACAGTGGTGGACCAGGAGGCCCACCAGGACGAGGTGGACCTATGATGAGGGGACGAGGAGGACCTAGAGGAGCTCCAAGGGGAAGTTTTCGAGGTAAGATTTTGTAAAGCAAATCTAAAGATTGAGACAACTTTTATATGCAGTGAGTGTATTAATAGCAAACCATGTCCTCTCGCGAAAAAAAATGCTTTTAAGGATATTATAATACTTCGTGATATTATGTTTTTTGAGAATATAGAGAGCTTTAAATTTGTGCAATGATAAGGCAGCACTCTAAAAAGGCGTTTAAGAAAAAAGGTGGGAAATTATCCCTTTTAAAAATTTACTAGATATTTATTAAAACAAAAAGTTGCAAATGTTAATAGATTTGATACAGAATGGGGTGTAAATGTTTTTTTTTTTTTTTTTCTTTTAAAATTTTTCAAAATAAATACTTTTCGGTTTACAAAAAATTTAATGTTTTTCCACCTTAAGTTTTGTTATTGGTGTTTCCTGAAAATTTCACAAAAATTGGACTAAAAATTAAGGCTCCAAAGGAATTATAAATTTTAAGGTGTTTAGTTTGCTCTTAAGTCTTACCCTCTTGTCAACTCCAAGTATCCTATGGTATCAAAGGTTCAGTATTATTACCAACACCCTTCAGGAGACAATTACACCCTCAATTTTTTGTAAATAGCAAATGGCACTTCATTGAAAAGATAAATTTTATGGGGAATTCAGAAATATGACTTAATTGGGTTACTTTTGATATTAGCACTCTAAAAAAAAATATTAAAAAAATGTTACATATTGTAAAGTGTAACACTTCAATTGGAAGGTAATTTTAATTTGTAATTTAATGTGCTACATAATATGATAACTTTATTTTATGGAAATATTTAATCTAATGTTATGTGGTCCATTGGATTACTAATAAAATTCTGATTAAATGCTTTTTCTTTGAAATTTTAGAAGTATGAGTTTCTCTTTCTAATATCACTATTATCATCAGTATCATCCAAATTTATTTCAATTTTTTGAATTGTATTGTTAAATCTCATATTTCTTTTGGATTTTTTTAACATGTTGAATAGCGTTTTTCCAGTTTTCAACAGTTATACAGTTAAATGCATTGCTTACTACATCAATTACAAAAGAAGTGGACTTAGGAGAAGAGTTATTTGTTTGAGATAATTTTTTTACTGTGACCATAATAATTCTATGGGGTTCAAAATACAGTGGTAGGGTGGTAAATGTAAAACTTTAAATCCGTTCTAAAAGAAACTGTGGAATGGAACGAGATGAACCAGAATCTTTTTGCATCTTTCTAGGTGGTGCCCCTTCCTGTAAAATTTTGAATACAGTTGACTGTGGTACTTTTGTCAAAAAAACAGTCTCTTTTAGGGCTAGGAGAAAGACAATTCATTTTTTAGACCTGTAAATAAGACTCAGTGTTAAAATCCAATATATTTAGAAAATTTTCATTTTTATAGATTTTGATGTGTTTTCGAATTTCCACCTTGCGGGCTCGTATCTTTGCCGCTCGCGCCGCCATAT